ATGGGCAAACAAGCAAGATTGGACAAAAATCCAGTTAAAACACCCAAAATTCATCTATGACTATTCCCTCCAGATACCTCCCTACACCTTTATAAGAGCATTAGTAGAAAACAGAATTCTCAGTAAGCAATTATCAGGCATTCCTACTCCTTATTCCAAAATGCATTCTAGCAGTCAAAGACAAATTGTATTTGAATGCAGGTTCCCAACTCTCCCAACATTCAATAAGGAACATGTTATCTTTCCAGGTTATATTGCTGGGCAGTTTAGTGACCTTTGTATGCAAGTGAGTTGCTGGCCTCAAAACAGAAATCAGACCCGGGCTACAAAAGAGGACCACCAGGGTGATAGGGCTCTATCAGTTCTCAGTGGTTCCCACTGAGTGCAATGGGATAACATGAACAGATTGTATTTTAAGGCACAATCTAATACAGAGGCATGAAACAACATATTCATTGTGGAATCAGCAGTAAGCCCAATGGAAGTGGGTAGGAATAGCGTCCACAAAGCCTCAGCCCCATGTCACTCACTGCTGTCCTCTCTCCCTTTAGCAATTTCTCACAGTGGCATGGAATTACTACTCTCTCCTTTAATTTGGAGCAAAGGAGGTTTTTTCCTTTGTTTCTTCCCAGGAGTTTCATACGTTGTGTTTGAAATGAGTACAACGTCTTGTGGATGCTCCCCTAAAAGTGAGGGCATTTTCTGACATGCTCTCACTCTAGATAACAAGACTAAAACCCTGTGGGGAATGCATCTATGACACAGCTAGGTGGGGAGGAGGGCTAAACCTGTCCACCATCTTGGTCAGTGCCAGAGAGCTTCCCCAACAACAAAAGAGACCCTGGGGTGGGAATTTATACAATATATCTGTCCAATGCACACAGCGTATTCTCGGAGGAACTTGCACTATCCTACTTGTTGAAATACCTATTATTATGACACCACACAGTGTACCGCTGAACAACACACAAGGGGTACAGACAACTGAGGGGAACCTTGCCTTCATGCCCTAATTGTAAGCTCCCCAGAGGCATCTGACACTTCACTGTTAGAAACAAAATCCTGGACTAGATGTACCTTTGGATTACCCTCAATGGCTCTTCTCAAGTTCATATTTTGCTATTAAAACAGCCGCCACACAGCATCCTAAAAAAGTGGCGAGAAAGACTTTGCTGTCACCCAGGAGATTCTTACAAGTGAGGAAAATAAATTTTCATTATTAAAGGGTCTAATCAACAAACAGAGAACATGTCAGTAAATACTGCCAAATCTGAAGGAAGGTAATATGTTCAAAACCCTCACACAAGTGATCAAATAACATCTATCTCAAGAACAAAATACTTACAAAGGGGTACTGTCCCATTTATCCCGGACATTGATTTCAACATCTCTCTGTTCAAGAAGGTACCTAAAAGTTAGACAAGAAACAGCTTAACACTTCAGAGTTTATCCTGCCCACGTATTCAGTCATAGCTTCCCCAGCTCTGAAGACCACGGCTAGGCTTTTGTGCAGTAATACCATAAAGAAACAAAATGCAAATGCATTATTTCACACATGAAACTGAGAAATAAGCAACAGTTTAAACACCCAATGCCAACCTTTGGATGACAAGTTGTCCACTTTTGATCCTGTAACTATTGAAAACAAATGGTGTTGCCATGCATACTACACTACTGATGGTGAAGAGTGCCCATGAAATCTTGAGAAAACTCACTGAAACCACCATACCACACCAGCAAGATTATTTTTTTCATGCTGCCAATACCCATGACCTATTTCTTGAGGTTTAAGGCTACATGTTAACCTGCTAAATTATTACAGCACACATCCCCTGATATTTTTTTTTAAAGGTAGCGACTAACATAATTCCTTCACAATTAGTCATTCCTCCCTATGTTAAAGTTATCCACGTCAATTACGTAGGGTTAGGATATTGTACTTGTAGGCTACCAGGAGTGTAATACTGAAGGTAGAATACAGTTTGTGTATTCAGAATTGCCTGGAAAGACTGTAAAGAATGTGAGCGAAACCAACTACAGGGGAACAACAATTTTCTTTTAAAGAAAAGATGCATTCATCACATGCTTGTAAATTCTTAATCCTTTTTATCCTTTTTATTTTTCTGTTCCTTATTCTGAGGTCTGGGGGTATCTGACATCGTCAGCTGTTCTGGACAGGAGATTAGGCTGTTAATCAGAAAGAGGCCACCAAAGGGCTTTTTTTAAAATGTAAAAACTGGGAACTTCGAATGTAGCCATGAAGCAACACGGGGATTGGGGGAGATGTGAACAAGCATAGACCAAAACAAGACTATTATAATAAGCAATAGAGAGAAAAAGTTCTGCAAGAAGTTAAAATTCCTCTGACTTTAGTTTTTCTATCTGAGCCAATAGGGATAGCTTAACTAGCATAAATGCCAGGAAAGTCATAAACAAAGGACAGACACTCCCCCCAACTCCTTCCCATGAAACTACTTTGGCAATTTTGAATTAAATTTTGTACATGGGACAACTCTCAGAAGCTAGCCCTTCTGCATATATGGACTTTCTTAGCCTGCTTCCAACACAAAAATGATTTTCCATGTGGTTTTTGCTGCTGCTGTTCAAAGCTGTTCTGTCCATATTCCAGTTTCCCCCACACCTTCTTAGTCTCAGATTACGCCCACTTCACTGGTGGCCTTTTAAAAGTTTTATTATTATTTGGGAAACTGCTAGCTTGCTATATTATAACAATGTACGATTCCTCTAATTTCCTGTCTTTTATTTAAAAGAAAGTCTCCAACCCTTTCCAATTGTTTTAACATAGGGATGTTACATATGTTTCTACAGGGATGCTGTAGGCTGATCTGCACTGAACAGGAGGTTGGACTAGATGGCCTGTATGGCCCCTTCCAGTTCTGTGATTCTATGACTCTATGAACTCTATGACTCTATGAACATATTAATGCTGTAACAACCAGCAAGGGAAAATGGTGCCAACGCGAGCAAGACCCTGGATAATCTGCATTCTGCACATTCTCATACAGACCACCTGAGTGCAGAGTCGGGCTGTTTTCTTTCCATAAAGGTCAGAGAAAGGCAGATTTGCAAAAAAGCATACTGAGGATCTGATGGCCAAAGCAGAGATAAACCTTGCCTATCTTATCAGGGCATGTATGTTTTCCCAGGACTGAGCCTCCTCCCCACTGAAGTCCAGTCCCCAGAGTAAAATCTGGAGCCCCTGGACTAAAGTTAGCCTACACAAAGCGCGCGTATACATGCAGCTCGGAGAGTACCCAATGGAACAGCAGGTAGCGTACGTGCCCTGGTGCCAGAATAGCCCCCAAGCCTGAAGGTGGGCCTCGGTCTTCCCAGGGCCCGCGCACCCCTTCCAACCTGCAGTTGGCTGAGCTCCCCTCTCCCCCCCCCCCCCCCCCCCCCCCGGCCCCCCCCCCCACCCCCCCCGCACCCTCCGGGCCTCGCCTCACCGCACTCGGCAGACGTCGCCCTTCTTGCAGCTGGTAAAGAGGTCGCTGGTGTCCATGGCCCGGCCGGCGGAAGGCGCCGCATTGACCCTGCCTGGGGGGAAGCGTCAAAGAAGCGGGCAGCGGCCGAGAGGCCGGGAAGTCTACAGCGCAAGAGAGGCAGCGGCGATGGCGGATGTAAACAACGGCGGGGGAGCCGATAGCGAGAAGCCAGGCCCTGCGTCTCCTTCCTTCTCTCGCTCGCTCGCTCTCCGCCCTTCCTGGGGAGCCAGCGGACCCGCCCCCCTCCGTCCGCTCGCTCTAGAGTGCCGACAAGGCTCTAGAGTGCCCGGGCCCGAGGCGACGGGGGAGGCTGGCTCGCTAGGCGGCCCCGGACAGAGGGAAGCAGGCGAGAACCCCGCTCTTTAGACAAGGCATTCCCTGCGGGCCCCCAAGCACGGGCGCGCTCCTCCCACGACAGCCTCTTTCTCTGTACGAGATCACACGCCGCTCGACATCGTGCGCAGCGCCGGGGAAACCGCAGGAGCGACCACCGGCCCTCGTTCCGGAATCACGAATGGGCGCTCGACGCGGCGTTCCATCCATTGGCGGGGAAAAGGAGTTTGAGTTCGGAAATGACAGGTGCGGGAACCCTGCTGCTGGAAGTCATTCCCACTGACCCGGAAGACGGTTACAGACGGGATTTCCTGGTTACCTTGCGCGTCGTGCGCTCCCCCATCCCCGCGAGAAAGGGGAAAGCGATCATTTGTTCATTGGAAACAATGGAAGAATTAGTCCATTAACAGGTGCCGCCCCCGCCCCACCCCACCCCACCCCTTCTCAGATGGAAGCGGACTGAAGTTAATCGTCTTTCGAATCCGGCCTTATAGTGTTGGGGAAACTAGAAAAATATGAATGTGTAATTTTTAAAAAATGCTCTCCCAGTAATTTTTATTACTTTGTCGCAGAATGAAAGAGTGAGTGGCTCACAGCAATCTTGTAAAAGATAGTTGCGGCCAATGTTCCCTCTAAGATGTGGAGTCTTGTGAGCAAAATTCTGCTTTGTGAGCTACTGGCATTAAAGTGGTGAGCGAGCAATTTGGCTGCTGCATACATTAGTTTGCCCTGGAGTCATCCTTCCTGAACAAAGACAGAAATCTGTGAACCGGAGGCTCACACTAACTCAGCTTAGAGGGAACACTGGTTGCGGCACTGATACCCCCATAGTGCCAGATAGGGAGTGGGGAGCTGAAACTGACATATCAGTTATCATAACAGTGCCTGGCCCTATTCCACCTATACAGTATCACCATAAGAAGGGAGACAAGCTGTGTGGGTGCTTTACAACAATCCTGCCATGTAGCCAATGTTATCCCCATTAGAGTTTCCAGGTGGAGGGTCCCAGCCATCCTTTATCAAGATCTCCACCTGTCTGATAAAGCTGAGGCTGACAGTGACTTACACGTTTTAATAAAGACTATTCTGTCATTATTGGTTATATACAACATCCCAGCAACATGTTTGCTCTGTAATACTACGCAGAGTTTAATTAAAATTGGATATACAGATATTTTAAGGGGACACACTTTGCTAACAGCATCTGGGTATCCAGATCACCTGAAATCATGATGGAGGCATGTTCGAAACATAGTGAAGCAAAATGTAGTTCAAAACATAGTGGAGCAAAATGTAAAACATAATTCACATTAGAGCAGAGATCAATCCAGACTGCCACCTCTTATAATGCCTTCAAATTTCCCCCATCCCTCCTTGAGCTCCACTTACATTGCAGTTTTACCCCATAACAGTACAAAATGAAGATCCCAAATAAAATTTAAGAAAGGGTGTGTGAGGGACAGAAGGTTGTCCTGCCCCTGAAGGAAAAAACAGCCACTCACTTGGACCTATGGGAGTGCTGCTCCAGCATCCAGTCACCTTTCAGGAGAGGGAGGGAATGCTGAAAGGAAACAGGGCAGGAGAGAGAGTTCAGTTCCCCCTCAGGGAGAGAGCCCTGAGAGCTCAAGTCTGGCTCAGGAAAAGAGCAGACAGAGGAAAGGTAGTGCTTGGTAGTGTGGCAGAGCGGTTTGGCTCTACTTCTGACAGAGAATAGAGTACCCAGTTGTTAGGCCTGTCTCTGGCAATGAGCAGACCTTGTACCTTGTAGTCTGACTCTTTGGGAGAGGGGCAGGCTGGTGTGGGTGGAATCCAGTGTGTGAGAGACAGGATCCAACCTAGTGGCTAATCAGTAAACTCCTGTTTATGCTGAAAAGTATTAAAGAAAATTGAAACTACTGTCTAAATTAATATGCCTCAGCCAGGTTTCTCTTGTATCAATCTGGAGACCTGTGCTGCTGATCTGTTCCTTAAAACCTACTTGTAAATAAATAAACCTTTGGTTGTTAATGTATAATACCTGCCTCTGTGACCTCCATATTCTACTTGTGCACTACAAAACTTACCTCACAGCCACAAACCCAAAGCCTAGACACTTGCTACTTTTGAACACCTGGGATCTGAGGGAAAGGTTTATGGTTTAAAATAAACCTGGTTCCCCCCCAAATCATAGGCTGTGTGGGTCCCCTCAGTTGATAGAAACAGCCTGTCACAGTGTGTTTGTTACACTAGCTCTTTATTTATTTATTGTATGGCAGAGTTACATACAGGAAGCATATAATAATATAAAACATGTAAGAAGAAGAAGAGATTGGATTTATACCCCGCCCTTCACTACCCAAAGGAGTCTCAGAGCAGTTTATAATCTCCTTTCCCTTCCCCTCCCCACAATAGACACCCTGTGAGGTAGGTGGGGCTAAGAGAGCTCTTTCGAGAACTGCCCTTGAGGGAACAACTCTGAAAGAACTTGTAACTGATCCAAGGTCACACCAGCAGCTGCATGTGGAGGAGTGGGGAATCAAACCCAGTTCTTCCAGATTAAAGTCCGTGCTCCTAACTACTACACCAAATTGGCTCTCCAAATTGATACTACAGGTATGCAGACTGATTGGGCAATCCCCTTAGATACTAATATCTAAATTTTCAATCCACTCAATCACAGCTGAGGAGAGTTCAGAGAGCTCCATCACATCCCCCTGGAAAGCATGATGCTCACATTCCTGTGACAGATGGAAAATAGTATGGCAGGCTGCATCACAATTGCATTCAGGTCCTGGTATTTTGCCCCATTTAAACAACAGGTCTGCACAACTGACAAAGCCTGTTCATATTCTATTAGCCGTCTTCCATACCTTACATGGTAAGTCAAATTCTGCGGGCCTCTAGTTGGTGTTTATCAGGTTATGGATATCAGCTTGAACTGATTGCATCCATGTTCACAACCATTCATTCCCTAGATAGAGATTTTGTGATTGTAGGATTTGTGCAGATCTTATTGCTGAGTGTTTTATTTATTTATTTATTTATATCTTCTATTTCTACCCCGCTCCAACCCCGAAGGGTCTCTGAGCGGCTTACAAGTTCCAAATTTATCCCTAGCTAAGGCCACGTGTCTACAGGGGTTGGGGCTGCCTACCGGCACCCAGGTGGCAGGGCTCACTTTCCCCCCCCCCTTGGTTGTTCTTCCCGGGCGGTCTTTCGGGTGTCGGTGATCGGTTCCTGGTGTGGTCGTCCGGTCCGGCAGCTTCTTCTTTCTTTCTTTCGGTGGGCCCGTCTGGTATGTGGGTCGTATCGACTTACAGCCCAGCTAACGTCCGTACGGCTCCGCTGCGCTTGCGTCATGTCACCACATCCTTCTGTGGCTCGGCCTCTGTCTCCACCTCCATTGCTCCGCTTGCCTTCCCTCTGCCGCTCCGCTACGCCACTCCATTGCCGCCATTTCCACCGTCACCTGCCGCCACTGCAGTCGCTTCTACTGCTCCTGCCACACACACCCATACGGGGAGGGTGCCCCCTACCACCTAAGGGCAGGTACCCATTCATCTACTCGCTTATATTAATTGCTTTCGAACCGCTGGGTGGGCGGGAGCTGGGACTAGGGCCAGGAGCTCACCCTGGTGGATGGGCAACTCCCTGTTTTCAATGATCTTCCTATATTCATGAAGAAGAGCATCTTGTCTTCAAAGGTGCGGGGGAGCGATGTAGCACAGTGTGGGTAGCCAGTAGGTCTGAGTGAGTTTAATACATCCAATGATGGTTTTCGTTGTATGTGGACATGGGGGTTGTTGAGCCACACTGAAGCACCATATTCTGCAGTATTATACACCTACCCCAAGGCTGAGTACCTAAGTGCTGTAGCAGACGCACCCCTCCCATGCATATTTTCACTATATTGGTAAGATGATGTTTATAGCTCAAGGTCCTGTCCAGGATAATGCCTGTTGGAAGTGGAGGAGTTCATGCTGTCCTCTGCCTCAGTCTTCAGAGACAGCACCATAGACGTAGAGACAGAGAGGTCAGGATACACATGGCATCCTTTCCTTCCTGCTATCTGATACTATCCTTTGAAATAGAATGCTATTCTTAGGGATGAGACTTCCTTCCTTCTGGCTTGACTTCTCTCTCACACACACACAAAGAAGGAGCACAGTCTCCATCTTTGCCACCATGGATGCAGGACAGGCATTCTCCATCCACATCCATCTAGTTAGTTAGATTAGATTCTATCATTGTCTCTCAACCTGCACTAACTAGCCTGCTACCCATGCTTCACTACGGTATTTAAGTTACGTAAATCCAGTTATAATACTGATGATGTGAAATTTGAAATGTGCCATTTGTTGTAGGAATTCTAATGGAAAAGACTATAGTGTAAGAAAGGAAGTGAGACGTGTACTTTTTTTCTCTCTACTGGAGGACCTCTCTCTAGACCACATTGGTGGTTCTTCCCTCAGGTGCTAGGATCACCAGGCTGCTTGATGAGCTCACTCTGGAGCAGGCCACATAGAAATGTCCATTTAAGAGGCAGTCGTCTGTTAAGTCCACTCCTGCTACCTTCCATGAAAGTGATGGCCTCTCTACTTGTGTTCCTGGATTGTTTTCCTCATATGGAGACTGTGTTGTTCTGAGCACCTCAGGGTGATCTTGCTGGTACTTGGCCTGTGCAGCTCAGTGAACTGCAGGAGTACTATGTGCAAATGTCTTTGCCGCATTCCTAAGTTGCCTCCTCCTTGCAGCGTTGGTGTGACGTTTGCCAGGAGCTTTCTTGGGGACAGTAAGAGGTGAGAGGTGTGAGGGATTGGTGATGTGGTGGACATTTCTTCAGGTTCATGAGGGAGGCACACATTGAAATGGCTCCTAGAAATGTCCTTTACTATAAGCATTTATACCCTGGCCCTGCTCCTACACCTGACAGACACCGGCCTGTCTGGTGTTGGGGGGACTGTATTTAAAGGCATCAGGGAGGCTGGGCCAGCAGCAGTGCTAAGGCAATCCTGCTGAGCAAACCTCTCTGGCGGCTGTAAGTATCCCACCTTCTCTTCTACACCTGACAGGCAGCTGCCTGTCCAGTGTAGGAGGGGGAGGGGGGAGGAGTATTAGAAGCCACTGTAGAGGTGGGGCTGCACCTGACAGACAACCACCTGTTAAGTGTAGGAGGTGGGGGGAGTGTGTTGGAAGCCATCCCACCTCCTCTCCTACACCTGACAGGCAGCTGCCTGTCCAGTGTAGGAGGGGGGAGGAGTATTAGAAGCCACTGTGGAGGTGGGGCTGCACCCGACAGACAACCGCCTGTTAGGTGTAGGAGGTGAGGGGAGTGTGTTGGAAGCCATCGGAGAGGCTGGGTCAGCAGC